AAGATCTTGTTCTCCAAAAAGAATATTTGACAAAACTTTGCTCTTTTAAAAGAATAATTGAATAGAATTAATATTTCTTGAAAGGATCTTTAAATAAATAACAAAATTTAATAACTGGATTTCAAAACTACCACCCAATTTGCAACTATTTATTCTGAATACTCTTTTGAAACTCTATTTTCTTCTTCTTTAATTTGCTTTTTGAATACTTCATATTTAACTAATATAGTGCAATTTATTTTTCTCCACTACCTTATAATTTATTAATAAATAATATTTTTTAGGATCCTTGAGATCAAGCAGGTCACCCTTACAATTTAAATCAACCTTGAAATAGATATCTCTATAAAGTCAGAATGATAATAAGGAAAGCAGTGGATAGGAGGAATACAATAACAGTAATCAGAACAATAAAGAAGATATCTAATCTTTAAAAAGTCAAGTGAAATTATCTATCAACTTTAAAAGTCAAGTAAAGTTATTTACAAATTTATTCTATATTTGAGCAAATTATGACCACTTATATACTTGTAAAAATGTATTACTTGAATCACTTGAGTTTTCTAGATTCCTCTCCTAAACTTTCTGGATTTCCTAGATCTTTTGAATTGCTTGATTCATTATAAATTATGTTACATGCTATATTTGATAAAGTAATCTATATTAATTAAGTATCAATAAGAATACTAAAAAATATTAAAGAAATACTTGTAAATAAATAGATAAAAATAGAAATAGAACTATCCAATAGTATTAAAAACTATTTCTATTATAATATTTTAACTTGCAATTATATTATTTAACTTATTTTTATTAAAAAATTTATATAATCAATTATAATATTATAAATTTTTATAAAATAACTAACTTATTATTATCCCTAAGTATTCTAAGAAAATGATATTTATTTTTTTGGAATATTAATTTAATATCTATTATTTGGATTTATTGTTAATTTATAATTAACCATAATTAATTGATTTAAAAAATTATAAATTTTAAATTAAGAAAAATAAATAAATAAAAAAGAGAAGAAAAAATAATTTAAAATTTCTCAAAAAATTAATCAATAATAATAATTTTTTTTGAAAAAATTTTATTTGATTGAAATTTTTTTTTACTTTAAATTGAATTTCAAAAAAATTTTTCTTTATTATGATTTGTAATATTTAAACAATTAATTTAGCAAGTATATTATTTAAACAAGTACTAGATTGAAATAGTTCAAGAAAAATAAAAAGATCTTGACTTTATTCAATAAAGTTTTTTTATTATTTAAAAAATTTAGTAAAAATAGAAGTTTGTAATTTATATTATCTATTTTTTATCTTTTGATATTATAAATACTTTTAAAAAGCTTATAACTTTTAAAAAAAAACTTTTTTAAATCTTCTTTTCTAATCATTCATAATATTATTAGATAATATAAATATGATTAATAGAAACTTGTTTATATTTCAAAAATTAATATGTTTTATATTAACTAATTATCTTTGATAAGAATTGTACTATTCAAAAATTTAAAATCAAATTAATTAATATAAACAAAATTTTTTGAAAAATTATAAAAGTAAGAACTTTAAGTAAGAAAATAACTATAATCAAAAGAAAGAAACATAAATTCTTTTATTACATAAAATCTTTATATTAACTTGCTTTAAAAATTAAAAAGACTTTAAGTACTATATAATCAATTCTTCTTCCTTTGAAAACTTTCTTGCCATTGATAGTAAAGATATTATTTGACTTTTCTTGATCACCAAAAATTAAATTTTTGAATAAAGCAATTTGTAAAACAAAAGAAGTTATACTTCAAACTGTTTTAAGAAAAGTATTAGAGTTTTAATATACAGTATATCATGCTACTTAAATTAATTTGTACTTGTGTATTCAATTGATTAATAAATTACAATCTAATCTGACTATAGATATTACAAAAAATCGGATATTGTTTTTGGAATCATTTATTTAATAATCGGAACTTGTAATTATAACTACGGAATGAATGATCTTTTCAATTTTTTGATCAAAAAAATCGAAGTTTAAATAAAACTATGAATTAATTGAAATGCATTAATGTGATAATAAAGAATGAGCATGCAACTCATTGGTAATTGTATATTTGGATAATAGAAATTTTAATTAGACGTTGACCAATAATTGTATACATTTGGTTCAATAACAAACGAGTTCGTCAATGATCTACCATTGATTTTTTTTTTTTTATATTTCAAATCATGACCCCGGATATGACGGAAGAGGATCCCAGACTTCGAAAACTCACACAAGAACTTTGTAATCAGCTCGCCATAAATCGGGAACAGCTTAGGAGGTTGCAACACCAGGTTGACGAAATAAAGGCAAGTTGATCATTTTTTTTGAGTTAGAACAATATTCTTTAATTTACTTTTTTTTTTTTTCCGTGCTTGACATTAGTCTCGAACCGAAGGTTCTGAGGGACCTTTAGGCCGCCCCAATTTCCGAGGTGATTTATCGGATCTTTTCAAAATTCGCTTTAATTCATTTATTTAATTTATTTTATTTAGTGATTTCTAATGGTCTCTTTTAATCTCGATTTTGACTTTGACAACAAGACTTGGCCGAATTATCGTATTTATTGCTAATTTTTCTTTAACAAATCAAGGGTTTCCCTTTGAATCCGGTACTGACCTGGAACGCCAGAACGCGCTGTTAATTTTTGAGAATCAACAACTGAACGATGAAAATTCCGAGTTATTGACAATTATCAAAGAATATGAAACCACACTGCAAGTAATGATGAATAAATTTAGGATTCAAGCCGTAAGTTGACTTACATTTACCATGTCATTAATTTCTTTCATTTTTCTAAATTTCAAAAGTTTACTTATTTTTTTGAGGAAACATAAAGTATGAGATACAACAAAGTAGATTTAACATGCAGCGAGAGTATGAAGCACTGCTGGAAGAAGAAAGGGTATGCTTTATTAACATATCACATTATTAATATTTCTTGACATTATTTTCTAAAGACATGATATTTGTTCAAGTAGACAAAGAAATCCCAAGTTTTGATTGAAAATGCAACTATACTCTCACAAATATCCAAAGTCGGTAGTATAGTCAGGGAAGCGTACGATGCACAAATCGATATAGATACAGATATTCTAGTGGAAAGTTTATGCATAGAAAATCAAGAGTTGAGACAAATGCTAGGAATTGCGAATGGAACCGAATTACCGGAAGAGAAACTTGATCCATCGGCAACAATGGTGAAACACATATTAAAAACAGACGCATCTAGCAATAATGATATTACCGAGAATACAAGTCAAGGGAATTAAAAGACTGCTAGTGACTATTGGAACCTTGAGATGCGTCGCGAGTCCTGCGGGAATCCCGGCCGAGGGAAAATTTTGATCCGTTTTATTTATTCAATGCACGATTCAAGAGTCAAGGCAAAATTAATCCTGAACTAGATATTTTCTTGTATCCCCATCAGTTGAATGAAATTCCTCGTGTCTCAAATTCAATGTCGATAGATATTTTTTGCTAGTTCTACATAATATAATTTTGACGTATATTAAATTTAATACTGGGAGTTGACGATGTAAAATTAATAAAACATTCATTCAAACATCTATTTGTTTACATTTCGATTGCCAAAGACATGGTAGAAGTGACTACTTGATAAGATATATTATTTTGGAAAATCGTGTTACACAACCGACTGCATATCATTACAGTATTGCTTTCACGGAAATTTTTATTGATATTAGCTTTCGGAAAAGTACAAAATAATTAATCTGTTTTATTGCATTAATTAAATCAAGATTCCTAACATAATAATAACTACAATAACAATTTTACATAAAAAGCTACGGAAAAATCGTCTCCGCGATATTCTATATAAATATTAATAAACAGGAAAGAAAGAATGTATAAAAATGTTCAATGCAAGATAAAATAAGTGAAATCCTATAGTCTGAAATACTAAATTGTAAAAAAAAAAATCCAAAAAACATATATATATCTATACATTTATATATATATGCGAAAACCATAAACCATTAGAAAATTCAAAGTTTTTTTCTGTTAAACACTTAAACAATGTGAAAAGCATCTGTTCAATTACAATTCAAAAATGATGAAACTTCAAATCAGATACATCGAACGTCCCTAATTACAACCTGCGTCCTCTAAAACATATAATTGTTTATAGAACGCCAGTCACCTAACGAATATGCAAAGAAAAATAAAAATAATTAAACGAATATAAAACATAACACACAGCAGAAGTATCCATAATTTCATTAATTGATTTGTGACTACTTGGACCAGTGAACCCGTCATTAGCGACTCACCAAAAATAATCAAATAAGGAAAACAAAATCAATTAAAAAAATCTAATCTAATTAAAGGGTATATTAAAATCAGGTGAGGGAATTTCTTTTTGATATTCCTTGCCTTGATTTAAATGATATTCATTTTTTAGTCCAAAGTTGCACGCATTTGGTTTTGTGACAATGGTTTAAAGTTATAAACATCAATTCCCCGTGCGAGAAGTTCGGCTTCAACGTGTTGAGGTACAAGCTTAGGAATAAGTTCATGTCGAATGGACAATTCTGTAGAAAATTCAAAAAATCAGTAAATATAACAAACCAAAGATCAATGGTCAAACTTAAGAGCTGTACCTCGTTCGGTGAAATCAAAGAGCTTCGGTAAATCTTTTCCAGTGTGAAGCCTCGTGTCAGGATTTCGGAGTTCGTCGAAGAACGGATGGCACATGGCTTCAATAGCCGTTAGCCGATTGGAAGGAGTATATTCCAAAAGACGCTCTATGAGGCTGATTGCTTCAGGTGGTGTTCTATCGCGGAAAACCTGGTGTCGAGAACAATTCGCATAAAAATAAGTCACAAAAATAGGCGGACATGATAACATTAGAAACACAATTTACAGGTGAAACAATACTTTTAAAAACGGATGTGGTTTGATTTGAGGAAATTTGTGCTCCATGTAATTAGGATTCATGGTCTTAATTTGTTCTTTTGTCGGAGTTCCCAAAACTTTGATGATTTCTACCAATTGATCAATGCCACTTTCTCCTGGGAATAAAGGTTGCCCGAGCATTAACTCAGCCATAACACAACCTGTCGACCAAACATCTGAATAATGCATAAAATGATAAGCACCAAGAATCAATATACGAGATTACAATAAATGCAATAAAAAGTCAGCTTTTCTTTTCTTTTTTTTTACCAATGTTTGTTGTGTAATTTATTGCGCCAAAGATCAACTCCGGTGCTCTATAATACCTCGAACAGATATATGAAACGTTTGGTTCTCCTTCCACCAGAATTTTTGCACTGCCGAAATCACATAGTTTCAATACTCCTGTGGACGGATTCAGTAACAAATTCTGTGGTTTAATATCACGGTGACAGATACCGAGAGAATGGATATAGGCAAGCGACCTGAAAAGCTGGTACATGTAGAGCTTTATGTAAAGCATTGGCATTGTTTGCTTGCTTTTTGCGTACACTCGTGAAGCTCTGTAAACGGTTTCAGGGACGTATTCGAGTACGAGGTTTAAGTATACTTCTTCTTTCTATGAAAATTCACATGTGAGTCGGTATGCACACAGAGGTATGCCGTTCACTTAATAATCATATGTCTAGGCATACCTTTTCACCATTAGAATAGAAAAATGCTTTTAGACCCACTATATTGGGGTGTGATACTAGTCTCATTATTTGAAGTTCTCGATTCTAAAGTAAAAAAAAAATAAATAAAAAATAAATAAAAATAATAATAATGGATGTTTTTCTTTTGTGAGATATCCTTATACAACGTTCATTAATTTTGCACACAAAAAATTTCCATAGGTAGAAGATATCAACCTTAAAGCGCTTGTCTTGAAGTACTTTCTTGATTGCAGCATCATCACCCGTGTTGATTAACTTTGCTTGAAATACTATACCAAAGGAACCATTACCGATGACTTTGGTAACTGTGTAAGCTAACTCAAAATCGTCTCCTGTCTTCCCATCACTAGCGATTACCTTGTGCATCTTAAGTGGATCGTTGTCCCCTAATTACGGAAACGGGTGAAAATGTTAATGGTTATTTACATATTAGTGTGCCAACTATGCCTTCTTTGAAAATGACGACACAACAATTAACGTGACTATATTAAGCGAGAATTCAGATCTCTGACAACAACTGGGTCAGGGATTCCCGCAAAAGGTAAATTCAATACCTACTAATTTTCACTACGTTTGAATTGTGTAACGATATAGCGATATTTTTTTTTGACGACGGCAATAATTAGCTATGGTGTGAGGTACTCCTCGCAAAGACAAAAGAAATTCGAACTTACCACCTCTAGCCGTGCTGACGGAGCTGTGTGAAGACAGACTCGGATTGTGAGGTTTTGTTTCTAACAAGTTGTCAGCTGGTCGGCGCTCATTTTCACCTAAACAGAAAAAAAATATGCAAGTGAAAAGTGTTAAATGAATATTCAATCTTATCTTTGCTTCTCTGTGAGTTGATGGAAGGAAACAATGGATATTGGTATATTCGATAACAAGGTCACATGTCTACCACGCAAAGAGCCTGCAACGACTTACCAGCTTTCACTCCGTTGATGGGATTATGTGAGGACATGGGTGGATTGGGTCGGCGTTTACTTGACATTGGATAAAGACGAGATTCGGGAATAATATAATAATTGACTTTTTATTTGTTAACGCCTAAAGCATCTATATTAATATGCGATTTGTGCTCTGTTAATATGTTACGTTCCTTTAAACACCTGATCACTGAGATTATGCTTAGATTTTTCACGTGAAACGTGTGCATTCGATGTATTACCATTTATTTGGTGCGTATTTGGAGATAATAGAACAAGTTTTAAAAGTTAACTTTGAAACAGCCACTTTATTAGTAAATTCTTAAAAAACAATTAATATTTTTTATTAAATTTTCTTTATAAGATGTTATAATATTTTTATTAAATCCATTGTATATAATAAAATTATAAAATTATAATATATATTAATATTATTTTAAAAAATTTTTTCTTTAAATTTTATATATAAAATATATACAATCTGCAAATTATATATTATTTTTTTTTAACTATTTATGATCAGATCAGCACAATGTGTTTATTAATTATTATGAAAATTGGTAGAGATATATAAGACAATTGTATTATGGTTAAATTAAATCTTGTACTAATTTACTTATCAATAATTTTCAATTTTCAAAACTTCAATCTTTAAGTATAACTTTGGAAACAATATTTTATTTCATGATATTTTTTGAGTCAATAACTTTCTAATTTATCCATCATTGCTAATAGATTATCATTATTTATTATTCTTCAAGAAATTGATTTTGAAAAATTACAAAAAAAAAAAGGAAAAAAAAAGGAAAAGTGAATATCTAAAAATATATAATTGTATTATATAAAAATAAAAAATAAAAATATAAAAGTATTTAAAAAAAAAAACTCTTTCCGCTGATCCTAAATTTCCTTAAAAAATTTCCTTTTTCGGTAATTTTCTTGGAAAACTCA